CTGAGCCTCCCTAAGGCTCCTCAATTGAAGCAGGGTCGGCCTCGTTTTTTCCTTGTTATCGTGCTGACTTGAGATGTATGGAGTTAAGGATAATGACATTAAGGAAAACCAACAAATCAATGGAACATTTGGCCTTACCCTTGGTAGTCATTAGTTGGTGCATGACGAAAAGGGTTCATTTACTGATAACATTTTTGAAGTGCCTCTTTTCCAAGGGAAGCCCGTATATGGCTTGGATGGGGCCCACTCCGAAACTTCAAGTTCGAACCGATCAACTACACCTACACAAAACACACCTTAGCCAAGATGGAAAATGAAGAAACGGAACAAAGCACTACAACGAAGGAGTTCGACTCATTATACTCAATGTACTGGGTCGATACGACGATCTCTGGGGCCACATCCCCTTCCACAGCTTGCCGCGACCCCTGACCAAGAACCAGGAGGACTTCCAATTCTTGATGGAGGTAGGGGTCCCAAGGATGAAAGGCAAATGTGGACCCCAAGGATTTATGCAGTACCACCCTTTACAATCGACCCCCCCACTTGACATCTGAGGCTGGAAGAGGGTTTGGAATACATGTGTGGGCATATCACCCCCAAGGGTCACTTCCTTCTAAAGGAGGAATGCTCCTACCAGCTGGCTCCATGTGTTTGGTACTAGTTGGGTTAAGGCCAGATTATATTCCCTAAGGATAATCCTAAAGAAAGGGTGCAATAGCAACCTCATCCCCCCCACTTAGAACCACCTCACTCACCGACACACAGCCTTTCCTAGGGAAACAAGCTCCTTCCTTTGGGGTCGGCAGTAGCAACTCAACGTCATGGAGGATCCTGAACATCTCCCTAAAGCCCTCAAGTTCATTCTCCTTAATATCTGTCGGCCACAAGGAGGCCCCCCACCTTATTCCACCATCGTCCTCTACAAACTACTCGGGGGATGCTACCAATGGAATTCCCTCATCAACGCGAACCAAAGCCATGCCTACCCCAGAAGAACCCTCCTCTGTACACTTATCAGACTCGAAAGCCATAGAAAGATAAGGAAAAACAGGAAAGGGAAAACTCGGCACAACAAGAAAAGGAAATTATACTTACGGTAAACCTAGCAAAAATCGAGTCCCGGAGAATTTCGAAACTGAAACGCAGTTCATCGCCGGCAATGACGGGAATTCTTGGACTTGAAGAGAAGGATTCTTGTACTTTGAGAGTTTAAGCTTTCGAAAAAAATAATGAAAAAAAGGCAAAGTGTGATTTCCCTGCCTTTTATAGGCTTAATCGATGAGCCCTACCGTTGGATGTTGTCCCAACTCTAATATGAGTCACCCACTTGTCGTTTCATCGTTGGCATGAAAGCCAAAAGGCGCTCATTCAAATTTGAATCAAAGGCCCAGATCATCCCGTACAACTCTTGCGCCAGGAGTTCACGTATACTTGGGTAAGGGAAAGATGCCATCATCATTGCGCATTGAATGCATACGTCGCTCGAGCATTGGGAATCAGAATATGTAGCTGTCGCTCATTGGAAACCAACACATTGATTGCCCCAGGGTTCAAGCCTATGAGGTTCATCCCAGGGCTCGGACCATGAAGTTCATCCTAAAGGGCTCATCCCCATGAGGTTCATTCACACAATGACCACCTCACACCTCTACTGGGTCGCGGAGAATCGCCTTTACAGACGCCAGTCCCACAACTCTGAAATTCAAATAGAAAAAGGAAAAGACACGCCAGCTCCTGCCAATAAGCCAGGGTCACAATCCCATGATTTTCAGGCTTTAAAGTCCACGCAAGATATAAATAATCATACCTGGACTTGGGGGACTGATGTTACTCATATAAATAATTGCAATATAAAAATTCTACGTGAGAAGCTGGCGAGCCCATAGGTGGCAGAATGGCAGACGACCCTATATACCGAGGCGGTTTCCCCCAAGTGACTCCCACTCGAACCCTACCAATAAACGCATTGGCTCGTCTTTGATTATATAGCGAGTCAACCAACAAAAATGTCTAGTGAAATGATTGACAGGACAACACCCTGCCAACGCTGTCCCCATACCTACACGGTTAGATCTTGTCAGAAAAAGGACAGAAGGAAATCTAAACATTAATGACTTATAACCAACTACTGGTACTGTTTTCCCTCTCGCTATGCAGATGAGGCCACGTGCCCCCTCGTCTAACGGCTCTTAATCACCATCTTCTACTATAAAAACATACACTTAGCACCATTTGAAGTTAATGCAAGTTCACACATTCAAAACCAACCTTGACTCTCCTCAATCCATTCCGTAGTCGACCCCCTCTTTATGCATCCAATAATTACAATACAACTTGTGAGATACTTTGGATTATTCACCTCTAAAATTTCACCTATAAAGTTGGCGATTTGAGCTAAGTGTGTGGTGATTCGGCTTGCGTAGATGTTAGTTTCTACTTTTCTCTTGGACCATATTTTGGGGTCAACACTCCTCAATAACATAATGTGACACCAGTGTTTTGGTTGGTTCTTGTGGATGTTCCCATGTAAGCGATTGAAGTAGGAAGAACCCTAAAACAATTTTGGGGTTTTTTCTAACTTGGAAAAAAAAATTGGTAATTCGATTTTGGGGAGACGATTTCAAGTAGGTAATTTTGGATAAACGGACTTCGAGGAGAAGAAGATGGATTTAGGGAAGGAGATTTTGGGTTTTGGGGAAGATGATTTTAATTTTGTTGTTGTGGAACGGGATGTTTGAGTGAGAGATTTAAGAGAGAATAATTCTTGGTGTACCAAATTTTATGTACATGTAGCATGTCCTTCAGGAAAATGATCATGTTTTTCATTTTATTAAGTTGTAAATAATGTGTTTTTAAAAATACTTACTCCATATCATCAGCAAGTTTATGACTTGGCATCCACTAATTGTAATATCATGTCATATAAGCGACTCTGTTTGCCACGCCATCAATTTCTTTGCCTTTTGAACGGTCGTTGAGTGAGTGATGGATTGAATTATATGTTACAAAGTTTAGTGATTAATAAAGATATCTTTAAAGTTTAGTGGCCCACCGAAAACTTTGTGCAAATTTCATCATTCAATAAGATTTTTAACCTTTCTACCCATCCTTCTCGCCATTCCAACGAGAACCATAAAGATGCTCGTCCATAAATTCAAACAGTAGGCTTCAATTAATTGGTGTTCTACAGATTTGAACATTTCACTTTTACTTTTTTTTTTTTTGAGAGATTTGAGTGTATTAGAAATCTAATTTTACTCAAGACAGAACGATTTAACGATTAAACTCACATCTTCTCTAGATTCCATTTTCTCATGGGAAGTTATTATGAACTGCAGTTAAACACAGAAACCCTAATTTCAAAGGTCGTACACCTTTTTAATGGGAATTCTGACTTGATTCCATGGTTCAAATATTTCATTCAAGTGAGATTTGGGCGAATTGATATGAATTTTCTGATCAAGCAACGTAAGTTTCAATTGAATTTGTCAACAAAGTTCGAAATACTTTGCAGAATGTTCATGAGTTCAAATTATTTGTTGATGCAATCAATAATTTCGACGAGCCGGATGATCTACATGGGATCTGTTCTATAAAAGTATAATCTCAAATGGAAAATTAAGTTTATAGCGTATTTTGTGGAGTCAAAATCCGATGATAGAAGATGCATATTTTCAGGTTGTTTCTCGTTAAATCCATTATTCGTGGAGGGAAAATTAGAGAGAAAAATCCATATGAAAAAATCATGTTTGAATGTGAAGTCAAAATGTATGAACAAGACATGAAGATAAATTCCCTGGAATCTGCGAAAAATGTTGTATGAAAATTGAAAGACGAGTTTCAAGACTCCCATGTCCACTACAAATTCTCCATACGAACACTCCACTTTATACTGATGTACCCCATTCCATCGCAGCATACATTCATGGACTGCATCATTGTACTTTTCTACCTGCTTTTGAAGTTTTGTACAAATTAATTTGTTATAAAATTTCAGAATACCCACTAACATTGCTAGCATCGATTTATCCACATCGTCCAAAACAAAGTTGTTGAAGCACTCACACAAATTATTAAAGGGCATTTCACACTTATTTGAAAAGTGACCTACTCCACTCATTTGGTGATTTTGCCATCAACCAGTCATACATCTCCCCGTTTGCATCTTCGATCTTTGCCATCCAATATTTGAAAGATGCCAAGTGGCTTTCTTTTGCTAAATCCCACAAACAATCTTTCAAGTACTTCCCATTGTAGTCATCTCGAAAGAAATTCTGGCGTGGTTCAATGACCTGCTGAAAACTTTGTACAAAGGTCAGTGCTCAATCAAATTTTTTACCCTTATAAACATGAGGTTTGACACTGCACATTACAACAGGCAAATTTCAACTCATTTTTCTTCGAGATAGATCCAATTCAACACAGCAAACATGCCATAAGAAACACGAAAAACTTAATATCAAAATTTGCTTCTGTTTAGCTACCAATCCTGCTGTATGGTAATTCAACATGATAGTTGATACCTTTAAGCAAGCATATTATGGGTGTACAAATGAATAGACAAGCTTTAGATGTCACTTCAAAACAATTAAATGCCGAGCCCTACCTGTTTGCACAATCAGATGTCACTTCAAAACAATTAAATGCCGAGCCCTACCTGTTTGCACAATCAGATGTCACGGACAAAATCCCAAGTACTTCCAAAACAAAATAATATGGAAGAACCAGACAAAATTTCATGACGTGGTTTATTTTAATTTGGCACATTCACCAAACAAATCACTAAGATGAAGATAGGCATGCTCGATACATCTAGGAGAAAACAAATCATTTTTCATAATTTTGTTTGTTGAGCATAACTTTCGAATGTTGAAAACAAGCGAAATGACCTGAATTCAGCAATATTTTCTAACAAACTACCAACCGCGATAATATTTGCGGAATGCTTGGCATGAGCTTTGAGCAAACTACAGATACGGATGTCACAAACATGTTCATCAATCCATATCAAGGAAATCCATCCTCTTATGCATAGTACCCTTGAGTTCAGAAGCTTCCCTTTCTGCCTTCTGTGCCTGATCAAAGTACACAACAAATGTAGATAAGAATAGTATTTGGATAAACAACTACATACATGCAAATGCATAGCAGGCGTCTTGGTTTTTATATAAAAACATCAACAATTCAGAATATTCAGATTGCCCTTTTAAGATCAAATATTCACCTACTACAATGGCTTAGCTTTCCAAGAGACGGTTACAAAGTAAGAACCCTCAAAATATAAGCCCTTCTTGTCCACTTTTTGACGAGTTTTCACTTTTGACTAGAAATTGAGATAGGAAAACCAGGGGAAAAAAAGGTTTAGATGACTTCCATCCATTAAAGGACATGCTCCCATCATCTCAAAAAGCACAAAATTGAAGAATATCTTGAGTGAAGCAAATAAGCACACATGTAGAGAAAGGAGTTGGGGTTCAAATATAAACATAAGCTAAGCAGAGGCTGAAGAACCATGAGAGTTTTAAAAGTTGTCAACATGACTTCTCTTCTGTATAGAAATTACTTGGAGTTTCCACCCTAAACTAAAGAATGGACCTGGAAGATATTTCACACCACTACCAAACATTTCTTTAGCAATCAAAATCATGAAAGGCAAGAAGGGGGGAGTGGTTTCTAATAGATCACCCACACCCACCCTGAAAAATGAAAAAAGAAAAGAAAAAGAAAATTGGAAAATAATAAGTGATTCACCATGGCACGTTTATAAAGTAATGAAAAATTTCAATTAAAATGTTTTCGCAGTAGAATTACCCTTGTTATCTCCACTTCTGATACCCGAGTCATATGTGGAGGAAGTTCCTCTTTGTCCAAGTCCTAATCAATAGCAAGCAGTTCATGCAACCCAAAAAGAAGCAAGATAAATACTGCAGAAATGAAACAATACATACCAGTTCGCCAATCAAGACAACATTTTCCCCTCGGATTACGTATAGACCTAATAATATGTCACAGTAAAGATCACCAACAATAACACGCTCACAGGCACCTTCTAGAACAGCATTGGCTATGAATGACATAATCAGACTTTGTTAATCAGATGATAATGTATTGTATAAGCAGGCAAATAGATACATTACACAAAATGTCAAAATCATTACCAAATTGATCAAAAGAACGAAGAGTCCCCAATAATTTCCTTCCATCTCGTAGCAATACAAGGAGTTTCTCTGGGGAAGAAAACAGAAGTTTTCCCAAGCTCAACATCGTTCAGTATAAAGTATAAACTAGTAAAGTTAATTTAATAATAAAATTTCTTGCATTAGTATAATAATAACCCGCTCAAGTATTGAATTATTTCCAGTAGAAAACCTTGAAATGCCTTAGCAACCGTACAATAAACAAATAATACTCAAGCATATACGCCCAAGACGTTAGCAGGTACTAATTTAGGTTTCATTTCTTGGACTGTAATCAGTAACAAACTTATGGCATCCATTTTGAACTCGCACTAAACGATAAGCGATATAAAAGATAAAAAGTAACTGAAATCTTGTCACTTCTTTGAGAAAAAAAAGACCTTGCTTGTCATCCACTTATTGGTATTCCAAACCAAGAAATATAATTCAGTATTCCATTCTAAGTTGGCAAGTCGTCATACTCGTCCACTATCTGTTAGATAAATTCAATTCATAAGGAGATCATTAAAATTTCGAAAACAACATCAATCGAGGTAGAAGCCATAAAGAGTAATCAGTATACATTCACAAGGTAAAGTTTATGTTATGATGGATTCCTGCACATGACAGGAAGCATATCCTTCTATTACCTTACAAAGCAAACATCTTTATCTCACAAACAAAATTTAGACCAAATCAACAGGATTTACTATTCAAGACACAAGTGTAATGCATCATGCTGATGAACATGGACATAGTAGGAAAGATATCTTCTAACTTTTTTTTTTCCTGAAATGGCATTATATCTAAAATGATAAAGCATAAACGGCCAACCAATCCGAAAATAGACCCTGTAAACAACTAACAACAATATGTCACCATTTACATATAGGCTTACAAACACATACAATTGAAATTCGCATCCGCTCTATAAGTCAGAATCTCCATTAGGAATATAACCCCAATACACCACCCCTCATCCCCAATAAAATGAAAAAAAAAATTTAAAAATTAAAAAATTAAAATTCAATTTCGTAACACAAATCAGACTGAACTGCAAAAAAACCCCAAAACAACCCACTGACTTAAAGAAAAATGGCATAGTTTACCAATAAATAAAAATTCAAGAACATAGAAAGATCAATATTTCGATTCCAATATCCAATTACTACTCCAAATTTACAACATAACACCAAAAAGAAGGAAAGAAAGGTACTGAACAAAAGAAACTTACTGTCAAGGTAGCTGGCAAGAGAAGTAGAGAGGTAAATATCTTCCGGGCCTGCCCAAGACATTGATGAACTCAAAACAAGACTTCCAACTTTTTCGGTTTCTCAAGAAACCCACAGAGATACCCCACAATTTCAATGAATCCAATTGCATTAGCAGCTCAGATTTCTCCAATTTTATTGCTTCCAATACTCCATTTCAAGAAAAAAATAAAGTAGAAAAGTGATATTATTTGTATAAAACCCCCATTCAAGCAAAAAAAAAAAGGAATAAGGGAACTTTTTGTCGAAGTTCAGATCTGAAAACCCTAAACGGTATGATACAGGGCTATCCGCAATCGGAGAGTACTGTAGAGGCACAAAAATATGCCAGTTTACGAACGAGGTTTTGTATAATCACCAAGAAAAATCGCTTTTTTTTTTTCAAGGTGATGATGGAACTTATAATTTAGGGTAATGGACGCAAAACGTCGATTTTTGTGGAAAACGTGCTTGCTTTTCATTTTTTCACGCAGAACGTCCCAACTTTTTACATTCATTGCACTAAACGTCATTGTCACCAATTTTTAATATAAAATAACTAATATACCCTTTTATATACATAAAAGAAAAAGGAAAATAAAAGAAAAATAAATAATAAATTGAAATATACTCCTAAACTTTTTTAAAGGTAGAGACGTTCTGCGTAAAAAATAAAGGTAGGGACATTTTGAATCAAAAAACAAAAGGTATGGACGTTTTCCACAAAAACCTTCAAAGATAAGGACGTTTTGCGCCAATTACCCTATAATTTATTTATATAACAATTATTAATTAATTATATTTGATCGATGAGAGAGAGAAACAGTTTGTGAATTATATGAAAAATAAAAATCAATTTTTTTAGAGAAAATATATTCCTTGTTTACGTGGAAAATATGTTTATATGACCAAAAGTTAGAAAATGTTTTGCATTGAAAAAATTGTCCATCAAACATCTCAAAAGTATGAATTTAGATAGAAAAATGATATTTTTCATAAAAAATAATCAAAAACAATTTAATTGGAATAGACTTTAAAATTTTACAAAAGAGCCCTCAATATTTTCGACATAACAAGAATCCTACGTTTTTTTTTTATTAGAGTCTTGATGTTTTATAATTCACTAAAATTGATAGATTAAAATTTTAATTTCCATGAGATATACTAGAAAAGAATAATGAAAGATTATTGTCTTTCACGAACCATTATTTATCATTCTTATTTAGCTCATGTTTGACAATCATTAAAATATTTTTAAAAAGTAGGAAAAATTTTTAAATTTATATACAAAATATTTTATCCGTGAAATTGGTTTTGTGCACTTCCTTTTGTTTTTCATTTAATTTTGGGTTCCCAAATAAAGTAAAACTATAATGCTCACCTCAGTTCTTTTATTTATTATAATTTTGTAAATTTAATCTAAATTTCCTTCGTTATTAACATAATAATATTAGACATTATTTTCTATAAACTCTAAGGGCGTGTTTGATTGTAATGGTGGAAAATGGGTGGAAAGAAAATGTTTTACAGGGAAAAGATTTGCCTAAAAAATGTTTTGAGGAAAATGATTTCAAGTGTATTTGATTTGTATAATTTTCCACCTGGAAAATTTTTAAATTTTCTATTCGTTTGGCTTTGTTTTACATAGAAATTGTC